ACCTCAGCCCACAAATGCCAGTCATCCACTTCATCCCACAAACCCTAGCCCTCTACTTTATCCATCCCATCCACCTCATCTGAGACCCAGTAGGGGCACACCACGCGTTTCCACTGACGTCAAGACACTTAAGAAGCATCAACCATCTTAGATTATGCTAGGCTAAATCATCCTGTATTATACTATAATAACATGCTTTAGTGTCTCCATAACATCTGCTTGACTTTTAACCCTTTCAGGGTCAGCAAGCCCTCTCCCAAACCTGTTCCCAGGGTCGGTAAAAATTCGGAAAAAAAAAATTATTTTTTCTTATGAAAACAGTTTTTTTTTTCTGAATTTTATAGGCTAATCAATACTTACCGAGATATGGAGGCATGAAGTTGACAGAAAATGACTGGCATACAGTAACATCGCCGATTGCCGGTCACCCGGTATTACTTTATTTATTTTTTTAGGTACTGTTTTCTATTAGTTTTTAGTTTTTTTTTTCAAAGTAACTTTTATGGCTTGTGAGACCAATATGAGCACTATTTTGTAAGTTATTTCTTTTTCTATACTACCCAATAACTGCATAAACACTGTTGTCAGTATTTTGTTTATAAAACATATTTACACAAACAAACAATACAAAATGTTGTTTATTACTATTTTTCTATATTTATATACACATATACAGTCACAGGATGTGTTTTTAGAAGTTCTGCAGCCTGTGGAAGTCTTTGAAACATGGTGTCATGCACAATGGTGTTTTACACTCCTCACACATAAAACGAGTGTCTCTGCGTGGTTGTGGGCGCTTTTTTATATGTGCACAGACGTAACACTTCTTCTGAGCCCTTTTTCTTGAAAGCAGTAGCAGGCAGTTTTGTTAGGAAGTGATCACCATGCTTCAGACGAGAAGGTGGTTGTTGATAATTACATGGGCGGTTTTCTATTGCAAGTACTTGATTATTATTTGTCTGATGACAGACAAACAAAATTCACCATATGGTGGTTTGTTTCTGGTCCTCATCTTATATATATTATAAGCATTGAGCATGGAAATGTCCAGAATATGGAAAAAGAGTTTTATGTACCACTTATAACTCTTATGAACACAATCAGCAAACCCAGTCAGCATGTCACATTTATCCACTGAATGCATATTGAGGGTGTAGTCAATCACAGCTGCAGGTTTTAGAATGGGTTCATTGCTTTCTCTATGCTGCCTGCCAGTGTCTGCCATTTCATTAGGGCGAACTGATGACAACAGTGTGACATCTCGTTTGTCATGCCACCGAAATGCCGTGATGTCATTGGCAGCAAAGGCCTGCACCTCACCTCTATGAGTGCCAGCGTTGAACCTGGGCATATGTTTACGATTTGCACGCACTGTGCCACACACATCTGTCATGTTCACTCACCAGAAATCACTGGGTAAAAGGCTTGTGTACCAGTTGTCAGTATATAAAATATGTCCCTTACCAAGATATGGTTCCATCATTGTTCTAACCACATCACCGGAGATACCCAGTAACTTCCTGGTATCTCGCAATGTATTACTTCCAGTGTACACAATTACATCCAATACAAGACCACTGTAACAATCACAAAGCACAAACAATTTTATACCAAAGCGTTTCCTCTTGCTTGGTATGTATTGCTTGAATGAGAGTCTTCCTTTGAACAGAATCAAAGACTCATCAATAACAAGCTTCCTGAAGGGATAAAAATACATACTGAATTTCTGGTTCAGATACATGAACACATTCCAAATCTTATATAACGTGCCGTTTCTGTCAGGCCTGGTTTTGTCTGAGAAGTGAAGCATGCGTAATAGTAGCACAAATCGATTCACTCCTATTATATTACTGAAACCTGGGGTTGCAATCAGGCGGTCTGTTGACCAGTATGATTTCACACTGCTTATACACATGTGGCATAAGCATTATTGTGGCAAACAAAAGATACATTTCAGCCACAGTTGTCTCCTTCCACTGGTGTAGGCATGAGTTTGGTGAAAGTATTGTGTTTGCCATGGTGTACTCGTAGTATCTGTTGCTTTCCCTGACAATAATTTCCATCAGGGGTTCATCCAAGAATAACTCAAAACATTCCAGTTCACTGGCATTGTTCCCAAGTGTACAAGATGGCCGTATTCCACTTTGACTTTCATCAAAGTGATGGGGATTGGGAACAAAATTGGCAGCTTCCTGCCAATCCCAGGTGTGGTCTGCTGGTGGGTACTGGATATTGACAGGAGGTTGTGGTTGTGGAGGCTGGTGTGGTGGGTGGGTGGGGGATGGTGGCCTTTGTTGTAGATCAGCTGAGGCAGCGGTGTGGGTGGCAGCGTGGGTGGCAGCATGGCCCACTGCTGGTGCCTCATGGCCGGCACCACCACTACCACCACCATGCACATTTTCCATCCCAATTGCTACACTATCATCTTCATTTTCACTGTCTGTTCTTGTTGTACAGCTACGGGATGTACTCCGAGATGTACTCTTTTCCCTTGGAATAGCATATATCGTCGTATATACAGACGCTTCACTGGAGAATATTCCACTTCATTATCACTATTGGAACTGTTTTCAAGAGCTTGTAGTTCATATTCACTCTCACTATCATCACCAATGCTCACATCTGAGTCCGGGATTTGGGAAAATAGGAGTTTCGTCTTTGATTCTGGTACAACTGAACGTGAACAAGACAGCCCAGCAGCAGAGGTGGAAGGCTGAGGGTTGTCTGGGTTTTCCTCACTATTACTGGTATTATGGTCATTAGTTTCGGTCACAACCTCACCAAAACCTTGAAACTCATCTTCACTAGCACTTCCATCTGTATTAGAACTGTCACTAGGGAACAAAAGTGTCCCAATTCGCCGAGGAGTGAGGAGCTTCTTACCACGAGGCATGGTGAACAAGGTCTACTAAAATGGCATTCCCACAATGCGCCACTGGGTCCCAGAATTTTTTTCTACCGTGCACACCGACCATGCACACCCATTCTCTCACATCTAGGCCTACCAGCTGTTTCCCGCTTAATTTGAAGCCGCTAGAATTTATGCCTACTAGTACGGCACCAACCCTGGCGCGCAAGCCGTATTAGTACGGCACCAACCCTGAAAGGGTTAAAATCATTGTACAACACTTAATTTATTATTTTAGGTTAATTGTGTATTTGCAAGAAAAGTTGTTTTGGCATTTTTGGAGATGGCATAGAACATAACCTACTTGTTCCCATAAGAAATTCATTCTATCTCATTTTCACGTATAGCTCCGTTTTTCTGGAACATATTCTGTGCAAAGTGTAGTTATCTACTGTACATGTACAGCAGGGCCCCACTTTACGGCGTTTCACTTTACGGCGTTCCGCTAATACGGTCATTTCAAATTATGACCAAAACTCGCTATACGGCTCCCCCCACCTGACTTTCTAATACAGTCACCGCGCCCCACCCTGTTTGTTTACATTCTTCGTGAGCTCAGTAAGCACTAAGTCTCTCCATTTTGTCTGGAAACTCCAAAATTTCAAATGTTTTTAAAAGTTATTTCATATATTATATATACTCTGATAATTATACTTATGTATACCTGTACTTAAATAAACTTACATACTGTGCTGGCATGCAGGTACACATTAAAATCAGTAAGAGTGTCTTATGTCTCCAGACGTCATATTAGTAATGATAATAATAATCATCGAGTCTCATTTAAATGTCGTATATTACGTTAAATACACATTTTCATTAATCCATCTATGATATTTTTTTCAAAATTATATAATAAACACGATACATAACATAAAAAGATGATAAATACACCCTACAATAGAATAAATAAACATAAATATGAGATGTGGTAGCCAGATAACTTGTACAAGTGATGCCAAGAATAACATTTTCTCTAATCTAACATAAGAGAAAATGTGTTACTGGGGTAACTGTAGAAAATTATTCCTTTCGTATGTATGTAAGTAAGTTTATTCAGGTATACACAAATACAGTTACATAGATTATCATACATAACAACATATGTGTAGAGAACCTAGGATAACCCAAAAAAGTCAGAGTGACTTATTTCCATTGCCTTCACTCAGAGCATCATTTCTTCTCAAAATGATGTTACATGAGAATGGGAGTGTTCTTCTTTATTTATTCTACCGTATCAATGTAGAGACAACCTGTACACAATGTAACTTGTACACAAACCAGACGTGTACACTTTGTTTACAAAACTTACCTTCGCCTGGTTTGTTTACATAACTCTGCGCCTGTACTCTCTCATGCACTCATTCTTTCTCTCTCTCATTTATTCGTTTTATCTCATTTACTTACTCCTGACCCTACATTAAGACTACAACTATTTTAAGGTAAGTAATGAGTGAACTGTATATACATTTTATCGCTCTGGGATGCTTAAATGTAATAGAATATTATGTGTAGGTGGGTTGGCCTGGTATGGTAGCCCGGCTGACTACCATACATACCACACTTGATTTTTTACAATAAATACTACTCATCTCACCCTATATTTTAAGGTAAGTAATGAGTGAACTGTATATACATTTTATCGCTCTGGGATGCTTAAATATCAGAATTGTATGTGTGGGTGGGGTGGCCTGGTATGGTAGCCTGGCTGACTACCATACATACCACACTTGATTTCTTACAATAAATACTACTTGTCTCACCCTAGATTAAGACTATAAATATTTTAAGATAAGTAATGAGTGCACTATGTGTGTATTGTACTTTTTTATTGTTTTTTGATGCCTGGTTCTATTGCTAACTTAATATATGTTAGTGTAAACTTGTTATCTAGTGTTTGTATGCATTTGTAAGTGGAAAAAAAGGATGTTCCACTTTACGGCGGTTTCCGCTTTACGGTGGTAGCCTGGAACCTAACCAGCCGTATAAGTGGGGCCCTACTGTATAGTAATGCACAAAAGAAGATTTTTAGGGCATTTTATCTTGTTTGAAATACAAAACACTTACTTTGACTAATGCTTCTTTTCAACAGTGCCTGCACATACTCCTCGAAAAGTGAAACGATTTGGCCCCAAGAAGCAGTATGGCTCTGGAAACAAGTCATCACCTTGTTCAGAGTTGTCCAGTAATGATGGAGTGAGCATTAATATTGAAGACTGCTGTCAGATGACTATGTGTGAAACTGTAAGTCATTTACCTAATTCATACACTTACACTCAGATATTCTTTTAAGGGGGTGCCTTAAGGTTGGTGAAGGGTTCTTGCTCTGAGAAACTGGAGCTATTCTCCTTTTACTTGGATCAGACATGATTGCCTAACATTCACTAGGTCATTGCTAGTGAAGAGTTTTAACAGTGTGCCCAAATTGTGGAAAATTTTCAGGCAAGTCCATTTGCATGTCCATGGCAGTTTTGAGCAGCAAAATTCTAATTATTTTTTTTTGTATTGTGATTGATTGTTTTACATATTCCATTGTTATTTATGTAGTAAATAGCAAACCTCAGAATGCTGGGATATGTTCTTAAAAATTGATGCCTTATGAAAAATAGCTTTATGCAAAATTCTGAAGGAAAATAGGATTATGTTCCAGACACCAGCAGACTTGCCAAACAAGTTCTTAATACAGTGGACCTCCGGTTCGCGGAGCCATCGGTATCCGATAAATCTGGTATCTGAAGCATTATATTGCAAAAAATTTCCCTCGGTTCCCGTTACAAAACCCGGTATGCAATACGATTCGTACGAGACATGTCCAGTGTTTACAAGCCAGCCAGTGTGCGCGCATCTAAGGATACATTCGGTACATTCTATATTATCCATATTATCACTGTTTTTGGTGCTTGTTTCTGCAAAATAAGTCACTATGGGCCCCAAGAAAGCTTCTAGTGCCAACCCATCGAGACCAAGGGTGCTAATGACTATTAAAATTAAGGAAATGTGTGCAAAGTGGCTTGAAATGCAAACCTTTTTTGATGAAAATCACCCTGAAACAGCTACTGGAAGCCATGTTGGCAACCTGTACACTGACAATGTTGGGAACAACTTTAGGAAAGTCATAAAGGAACGAGAGGTACAGGCATCAATGGACAGATATGTTGTGCAACAGAAGTCCAGTGACTCTCAAGCTGGTCCTAGTGGCATTGTGATGAATGGTTTGAAAAACCGACAAGTTGAAGATTGAGACACTTATGCAGCATATGGGAATCTTTATTCAGGAAAGATTCCCATATGCTGCATAAGTGTCTCAATCTTCACCTAGTGGCATTAAAAGAAGAAGGGAAGTAACCCCGGAAAAGGACTTGCTACCTCAAGTCCTAATGGAGGGGGATTCCCCTTCTAAACATTAAAAACTTCGACACTCTCCCCTCCTCCCATCCCATCAATCATCACCAGATCTTCATTAAAGGTAAGTGTCAATTATTCTATTGTGATTATTCTATTGTTATTATTGTTATTGTAATTATTATATTGCATTAAACTTAATATATCATGTGGTAAAAGTTTTTTTTCATACTTTTGGGTGTCTTGCACGGATTAATTTGATTTCCATTATTTCTTATGGGGAAAATTGATTTGCTTTCCGATAATTTTGGTTTACGATGAGCTCTCAGGAACAGATTAATATCGTGAACCGGGGGTCCACTGTATTCTTCAAGATAAATATTACTCCAGTTTATCTTTCCTTACATTCTGTTAAGCCATTACTTGAATATTTGAAGAGTGTGGGTAGAGCTAACATGGGCCTACTGGGCATAGGTAGATGTGGTGAGGTTATCAACTGACACACACTCAATGCTTATCAACATTTCCTTACCAGGCATATAGGAACTCGCCACACTTATACCTAACAAAAGTATGCCAAAATAAATACATTTGATAAAGCCAAATTAAAGAAAAACTATTAATATAAAAATGTGTGAGTCACCTACTTTGTTGAAGGGTTATAGAACCACCAGAGCAAGTGATGTACTGAGTCCTGATTCCCAGTGATGCATTGTCAGCTTGGTCCCCCTCAGCGTGTTAAAATCATAAAACAGAACCACATTTCCTTACCAAACCTCACCACATTTAGCATGCTTTCCACCTCAACAAAGACATGGTAGTGATGGTGACACAGTAGTGATGGTACAGTGAACTAGAGAGTCAGCACAATACCATAATTGCCTCACTGCTGATGGCTCAGAGAGCAAATTGAGGAAGTCTGTGAAGGAAATGTTCCAAATTTTGCACATTACTTAGTTTTAAAATTTTTGAATCATATATCATTCATTTTCATGCACTGTGACATTTTGGTTGCACTCTTTCAGTAGTGTCAAGAAAAAGTATTTTTAGTTACAATCTTTCAACAGAGTTAAAACTATGTGGTGCAGTTGCATATTAATCATATTTCCCCACAGATACCCATGTTATCATTGAAGAAGCCTTCCTCAGCTCTAATATTCCGTATCTAATTTTATTTTAACCTTTTCACTGGCCGTGCCGTCGAACTGTGGCTTTGAGTTCACTGGCCATGCTGTAGTACTACGCCATGAGCTTAGCTCACTCAGATAAACTGTGAGTGGTAATTTTGGGCCTAAATATGAGAGAATGGGTCTGTGGTAAGTGTGCACCATAGAAAAAGAATCCAGCACGTGGCACACAATGAGAAAAAACTGTGACATATTTTTGGTGTCAAATAGTGACTCTTCAGTGTAGGTATTTTCGTACGGTTTTTATGGTAATGTTCTCGTTTTCGTGGTCTCATTTGATAGAATGGAAGATATATTACAGAAACTGAAATTATTTTGGTTGGTTTCAGGACTGAAAATAGCTTGAAATTGAGCTCAAAGTAGCAGAAATGTTCGATTTTTGCCGATATTCAAGAGGGCTCTGGATGGTGAAAGGGTTAATAATAAATTAAAATGCACATAACTCAGTCCCTCTCTCCCCTTTTCTTTTCCTTCCTCCTTCCCTCTCTCTTTCCCTCCTCTGTCTTTCCCCTTCCTCCCCTGCCCTCTCTCCCTCTTTCCCCTCCCTCTCCCTCTTTCCTCTCCATCTCCCTCTTTCCCCTCCTACCTCTTTCCCTCCATCTCCCTCTTTCCCTCCATCTCCCTCTTTCCCTCCCTCTCCCTCTTTCCCTCCCTCTCCCTCTTTCCCTCCCTCCCTCTCCCTCTTTCCTCTTTTTTTTCTTACACATGGTTTGACAAGGTTAGGTTAAGGATCCCTAGCTTTATTGACAAGCTATTTACAGGTTAAGGATTCCTAACTTTATTGACAAACTAAGAGCTGTTACCTACATCAGCTCATTTGAAAGCATTTTTATTGTTATGAGACATACAAGTAGGGAACAGGATGAAGTTGGAGCCATCTGTGGGCCAGCATTTTCATCTGATCAACTGACTTTATCTCATTGACATGGGATAAATGATCTCAGATGAAGTGATGTTCTGGAGAAGGGTACAGCCGGAGTAAAGTTGTTGCTTTCTGCCCGTCGTGTGAACAAATCTCATATTTACGTCAATTTTTATTCTGTGAGTGTATGTATCATGTTTATATGCTGTGTAATGTGTTTCTTATATAATTTTGAAGAAAATATCATAGATGGATTACTGAAAATGTCTATATAAATGTAAAATAACACTTTTATTGTGCCCAAGAGTGATTATTATTATGTAGTGTTATAGTGGCATCATGAGTAGAGAGATTCTTAGTGATTTTAATGTGTACCTGCACACCAGCACAGTGTGTAAGCATATTTAAGTACAGGTACACATAAGTATAATTATCATAGTACATATAAAATACACAATAGCTTTAAAACACTTGAAATTTTGGAAAGTTTCCAGACATAATAGATGTGGTCATGGAGAATGCAAACAAACCAGATGGGGCACACCATATTTGAAAGACTGCTTGCCGTATAGTGAATTTTGGTCATAATTTGACATCGCCGTATTAGCGGAACGCTGTAAGGTGAAATGCCGTAAAGTGGGGCCCTACTGTATATACTGCTTGAACGACAGTCTACCTTTGAACAAAATCAAAGATTCATCTGTTACAAGATTCTTGAATGGATAAAAGTACATGTTGAACTTTTGTTTCAGGTACATAAAAACATTTCTAATCTTGTATAACCTGTCATTTCTGTCAGGCCTGGTTTTGTCAGAGAAGTGCAACATACATAACAGTAAGATAAATCTGTTCCCTGGGATGATTTCACTGAAGGCTGGGGTAGAAATTAGCTGATCTGTGGACCAGTATGATTTTTATATTATGCTTATAGACATGAAGCATAAGCATTATTGTTGCAGAAAACAAATATATTTCAGCCACAATTGTCTCCTTCCACTGGTGTAGTCTTGACTGTGGTGATATAGTATTTGCCATGGTGTAATCAAAATACAGTGGAGCCTTGACTTACGAGTGTCCCAATTTACGAGTTTTTTGAGATACGAGCTGTCACTGGGTCGATTCTTTGCTCTGAGTTATGAGCCAACATTTGAGTTATGAGTCAGCTACCCCCTCCCTCTTCCCCCTCAACCCAAAACCTGGATACCTCGCTTGATTATCTATGATTTCATGCTTTAATTCCATGGAAATTATTCTCTTTTTCGTCTCCGCCATAATAATACAGTGGACCCCGGTATTTGATATTAATCCGTTCCTGAGAGCTCCTCGAATACCGAAAATATCGAAAACCGAATAAATTTTTCTCATAAGAAATAATGAAAATCAAATTAATCCGTGCAAGACACCCAAAAGTATGAAAAAAAAAATTTACTTCATGAAATATTAAGTTTAATGCAAAAGAATAATTACAATAACAATAAAATAATTGACACTTACCTTTAATGAAGATCTGGTGATGATTGATGGGATGGGAGAAGGGGAGAGGTGTTAGTGTTTAGAAGGGGAATCCCCTTCCATTAGGACTTGAGGTAGCAAGTCCTTTTCCAGGGTTACTTCCCTTCTTTTTTTAATGCCACTAGGACCAGCTTGAGAGTCACTGGACTTCTGTCGCACAACATAACTGGCAGCCTCACCATGCCTAATCACACTATGTATGCCACTACGATTCTTAAATCTTTCAAACCAACCTTTGCTGGCCTTAAATTCACTCACATCACCACTAGTTGCAGGCAATTTCTTTACCAAATCGTCATGCAACTGCCTAGCCTTTTCACAAATGATCGCTTGAGAGATGC